AAATTGACGATGACAATCAAAAAATGATGTTTTCCTCCCCTATTGAAGTTGAAAAGCCTTTGTGTTCTCCATGCAATAGGGGCATGAAAACCTCCCATGTGTGCTCCATCTAGTTAACATGCCATAACTCGAAAAATCAATTATCGTCCATAACAGTGTAGCTTTCATGATAAAATTTTGTTGTTTAAAACTATCATAAGTTTCAACTCCATTTGTCCACAATTCCTTAAGTTCATCGATTAATGGCCTCAGCTTGACATCAATATTTTTTCTTGGACTTTTAGGTCCAACAATTATCAAGGCAAGAAAAATATGCTCTAACTTCATGCACAATTCAGGAGGAAGGTTGTACACAGTAAGGAAGACAAGCCAATAAGAGTAAGGTGCTGCAAAGCAACCAAATAAACTGAAACCATCTGTGCAGAGCCCAAGTCTAACATTTTTAGGTTCTTTGGCAAATGTTGGATAGGTTTCATCAAAGTGTTTCCATGCCTCACTACTCGCCGGATGAATAACTTCATCAACATCCTCACGGCATTTCAAATGTCATGTCATGTGCTCTGCCGTTTTCCTAAACATGTATAATCGCTGCAATCTTGGGGAAATTGGAAGGTACCAGAAAGACTTTCTTGGAACATCTTTATACCTCACAGCAGCCATGTTCCTTGGCTCATAACGGGATTCCCCACACACTGGACAAGCAGTTATATTCTTGCTTTGCTCATCATAATATAAAAAGCAATCATTGATGCAAATATAAATTTTCTTGTACCCAAGTCCAAGCACATTTATCATTTTTTTTTTTTTGCACTATAGAAATCCTTTGGGACCTTTTCTTAGTCCTCTGAACTCAACAACTTTCGACTCAATGATAATGCCATCTCCCAATTAGCAATACTCATATTATAAAGAGTCTTCATGTTTAGCATTTCTGTCATCCATGAAAGTACTGTGACACTCTCTCCCCTAGCACCTATATGAACTTCTATAGCATACAAAAGATCATAAAATTCTCTTGCCTTACTATTTGGCTCCTCACCCATTGGCCCCTCATTGTATTCAAGTTGTGGACCCATTGCATCAACAACCATTCCACGATACATTGCATCTGCCTCATTTTTAACAAACTTCATGTTAGAAGATTCCTCTCCAAAGTTTCTTGCTAGATTGTTGGATGTCTCTCCATGAACATACCACGTATAATAGTTGTTCGTAAACCCATGCTTACACAAATGCACGAAGATAACCTCAAGGTTCCCCCATTTCCTACATTTGCATTTCAAACAAGGACACTAGATCTATGATTTTGCTTTGGGTCTAGAGAATGCAAATCTCACAAAAAATTGCACTCCCTCTTTAAATTCATCAGTAACAAAACCATCCGTCTATATGACGATTTATCCAACTATGGTCCTCCATCGTTTAATTACCTAATTTGAATTTCAATTTGACAATATATTATTAAATGATTATTAAAAATTTATATTTTAAAAATAAAAAATTAAATTAAATTTATTAAAAATAAATAAAGAGATTAAAATATTTGAAAAATTAGAGTGAGATAATCACTCACTCTGCCAAGGGTCCTTGAACCTTGATAGAGTGAGTGATTCTGTTTGATATATGATACTAAAAACTATAAAGTAAGGCTTATGTTTAGTAATTTTAAAAAATAACTTTAGATATATACTTAATATAAATACTACTCTAATTTAATAGCCATACGAATCTCAATCTCAATAATTTAACATAATTCATTTTATAATAAATTTTCAATATAAATATCATTCTAGTTTAATATTATAACGTATCTCAATCTCAATTTCAATAATTTGAAATAACAAACTTTATATATAGAAATTCAATATAAACATTATTTTAATTCAATAACCATACGCATCTCAACCTAAATTGCAATATCAATGTCAATCTTAATATCAAACTCAATAATCCAAAATTCCCAACTTTATATATATATATATTCAATAAATAAAAAAAGACTTCAATCTCAAATAAATTAAAAGATATAACTCTATATATATATAAATGAGTCTAATTTACTCAAAATTCAATATTTCACTTAATAGTAGCAATAATCCATACTAATCCACACAAATGAGACAATATAATTTTACAAAAAAAAAAAAACACAATAATCCCAATTACCTCTACTAGTGGGGACGGTGATGTAGAAGATTAATTTGGATCACTAATCTGTAAAGAAAACAAAATATATAAGGTCTATAAGTCCAAAACCAAGGGAAATTTATCCAAATTTTTGGTTAAAAAACTAACCGTCCAACTGGCGAGGAGGCAATAGGTTTATGGTTGAAATGGTGTGCTGGAGGCAATGAAGGTTGGATTATCTGAAAGAAATAAGACAAATGCCTTCTTGTACATCCAAATCAAAGGAAACAACAAGGAAAAACCCCCTCCCAAAAAAAAAAAAAACAAAAAACAAAAAATAAATAAAAGAAAACTAACTGTCGAACGACATCTGGATTTGCAGGCAAGGCAGTGGTGGGTCAATCCTCTAGGTGGCGTGGTGGTGTGATCGAAAATGGACAGATCTACAAGAAATTGGGAAAGCTGATTGTAAATGAACAAATCTATAAAGAAAAAATAAAAAAATAAAACTCCATATGGACATAGAGACAAACAAAATCACTGTCATCGACAAGGGGATTTAGAAACTAGTGCATGTGGAGCTTTACTTCTCAAGTCAGCAATGACAAATCTCACTGGAGAAGAAACTAGATTGATTGCAAAATGAGAAGAAGAAATGGGGAAGAAAAGGCAGATTGGTGGGGTAATGAAGCCTATAATCAATAGCCATGGCTGTAAGTTATGAAGGGCAAAATCAAAACTGCGTCGTTTCATAATATAATCGACAAAAAATTTGACGATTATATTAAATTTATAATCGATAGACCTTAAGCTGTTGATTATTCTCAATCGATAGACTAAATTCTGTCAAATATACTAAGATAACCGACAAAAAGTTTGTCGATTATACTTCTTGTTGTTTAAACAACACAAAATCTTATATCATCGACAACAATACAGAATCGACAGATAATTTGTCGATTATGATCTTATATTTGATAGAAAATATTCTATTGATTATAAGTTTGTCGGTTATATCTTGTTTTTTAGTAGTGACCATCCCAGAAGTCGTAGAAGGAGTCCTTGTCTACTAAGACAAAAGCTTTAGACGTCTTCCAGATCGAAGATCCAGAACCACACAGAGATTGATGATCTGTTATTTCAGAGGTCTGAGAGGATCCTCATCTAACTGCTTCATGAGGAGGATGAGCTCAAGAAGTGAGCAGCTTTTGTACTTTAGGCAAATGAATATTATATCCCAGAGCAGTCTTTCATATTTCTAAACTTGTACAACAATGCTATGAGTTAAGATAGCTCACCTGATACAGAATTGTGCGGAGCCGAACGCCATCAAACCCCGAGAAAACATGATAGTTAGGAAGAGGGAATTTAGCATATAGACTTCAGTTTGGAACAAGTTGATTACATTCTTTCAACAAGATAATTCCATGGCCTACTTAATTAAATATATTTATTGCTTACTAGTTTATATATGTAAACGTTTCTAAGAATAATAAGTTGAATAAATAGAGTGCAACACCTCAAAATGATTAGGAAAGGAGGTCTTATACAGTATTTTTTTTATTTTTTTTAGCCTTGTATAGAAGCTGCATACCCTTACTAGGTTGCTGGATATGAAAACATCCAGTCCTTCGGTTGAGAAATGCTCTTCCTTCTTTCGTTTGTTCGCTATCATATAAGGATTTGCATTGTTTTACATAATGAAAATAAGGGAATAATTTTTTTGGCACTCCTAATTATGGTTATATAGTAGAAATAATTCTTCTCTTTCTCAAATCCCTTTATCTTAAAACTTGTTTCAAGATTTGAATATAAAACTTTCAGTTTGGAGTCAACCTGTAGGGGCCGAACATTGCAGTCTAGTTTCCAGACCTGTAATGCAGCATCAATCCAAATCATTTATTAATATTATTTAGTAATTAATTTAACTAACGGTTTTAATTCAATATAATTTGGAGTTATTTTTGCTATGTTTGGAATAGTTTGAGAGCTCAACCAATAGCAGAAAAACTATAAATCTATAATAGTGAACTCAATAAAGATAAAAAAAAAAAAAATGCCCAGACTTTAAGTTAAAGTTTTCAAACTTGAATTTTATAATGAGAATGAGGGAAGAAAAACTTAAAAAGGGGAATGGTCATCATTAGATTTAGAAAAAATTCAATAGACAATTTCTACGTTTTCCTTTATTAGTCCCAAATATATACTCCGGTTTTGATCACCCTTCTTCCACGCCTAACTAGAATGGTCCAGAGATGTTACCAAGAAATATTCAAAGCATCTTAAACCAATTTTTGAGTTTTTGATGGACAGCTGCCTTCACAAGGGCCACAAGACACAAAGCAAAGCGGATCAAGAGAGCATTCAAAGAAAAGAAAATTTTCGAGGTCCTGTGCTTCTCCTACAAACACTGCAGGTATCAAACGTGTCACCTAAATCTACCTTTCAAGAACCCTCTTCCCTGTTCTATAAAAAAAAAAAACTGATCTTTCAATTCCCCTGTCATACCCTTTTCCTCATTTGTTGGAATTTTGTGATTATGGCTTTCCATGCAGCGGTATGCAAACTTGCATTTTGACTGCCATTTCCAAATACCATTACCTCGTTTTGTTGATGGTTTTAGTTTGTGCAGAGATACTGGAGATCAATGCAGGCTTCCTTAGCAAGGAAGCGCTCTGTATCCTCTACAACTCCAAGAACGAAACTATTCTCTTCAACAAATGATGCTCACCATCAGAGCAAGTTAGTAATACAACAATTTTATACAATGTTGCAGAAATCAGTAGGCGATGGAGCCACTCAGCACTTTAGGCATTTTTCTTTTCTTTTTCTTCTTTTTTTTTTTGCAAAAAATGCCAAAATTAATAAAAAAATTGTCCAAAAATAAAAGAAATGCCCAGCTGCACCACCTAGGGCCTAGGCAAGGCGTCAAAGCATCTTCTAGCACCTAGGCACACTTTTGTGACATTAATTTCAAGAACTAATGCATCTGCTGTTTTGTTTTCATCTTGACTAAATCAATTAATGGTGAGAATATCTCCAGGCACTCTAAAGCAGGGGAAATGGCCCCTATTTGGGTGTTGTGGGGATTCGTCTTTCTAGCAGTTGCAGTTGGGGTGCATACAGCGAAGCAGCACCTGGTGCACTCACCAATGGTTAGCATCATAAAGAAGAGGAGGGAATCGATATGGGAGGTCGACAATCCTGATCATGTCATCGGCAATGTTGAGAAGTTCGAGAATAAGTCTCTCCTGAGGAAGTTGGCTCACATTCAAGATGAAAAATACGCTCAATCCGACCCAACTCTCCCCAACTTCTATACCAGGTTCGTTACTAACTTTATTTTTATGAGTAACTATACTACTAAAAGTGAAAATTCCCTTTTCCAAACTTCTTCCCATAATTTGAACTTGATAGATTTAAATTTTTAGTTACTGAAAACTTTAAAGGACTCATTAGTAACCTTGAAAAATAGTTTCCATCCCTTGCCTCATACTTTTTACTGTATTTCTTTTAGAAAACAAATCTCTTCTCTTTAGGAAAGATATCAAATAAGTTAAGGAAATAATTCCTATCACCTTTACCTCTTATAGATTAGGAAAAAAATCATCTCAAAATTACGTCGTTTTAATAAATTTTTATTGAAAAAGACTAAACTACCATATTTTTAAAGCATACATTAAAGTGATTTTTATCCTTTTTTTTTTTCCTTTTAATTTTTTAGAGGTAAGGCGGATAAGCATTAACCCCATAAGTTAATTAAAACAAAAATAATATAATTACAATATCATAAATTAGTTTATAATATGATATATTATTATATAATTAATTTTTTTATTTATAAATTAACCTGTGACATTATATATATTCACTTATTTAATTACACATTATATTCATTTAATAACACATCAAAATTATAAATTTACATTTTTATATGATGTTATAACTATATATCATTATCACAACTAAAATTGTAATTATCAATTTCCAACACGGTGACTTTGCAGGCCACGCAAAGCGGATACCCTCAAAAGTGTTGGTGTTGATTCAAGCAACCACTAACTCTATCCCATGTGGAATAAGAGATGATGGTTTCATTTTAATTTTGTCTACTAGAAGGTTCGTCATGTTTTCATGTATTTTTTCGCTGAACTTCTACTGTTTTGGAATAAGAGGTGAACACATCCAGACTTTAATTTTAACACTATTTTAGTGGTGAATATTGTCAATTTTCTCAACAATTTAGGAATAAAACTAGGAATAGTTTTGAACTCTTAAAAACTCGATGCCATAGTTGTTTGGAAAATGATTGGTACACTATCGGTTTAACGCATTTTTTAACACACTTTCGATTTAGTTATTAAAAATACAATATAAATACAGTCAATTTAACCGATTCTTGTATTATATATGTATGATTGTATCATTAAATTTGTTTGTCTTTAATTTCAAAGTAAAAAATAATGAATTTTTAATAAGTGTGTCATATAATGTGTTGGTCATATAATGTGTTGAACCGGAGTGTATACTAATCACTGTTCTAATTGTTTTAGATAGATATTGTGACATATAAGATATTGTAAATAAACAATAATTTCTTGGCAGCCATGTAAGTAAACATTGAGAAAAGAGATATATACATATTATGTATTCGTGGTTATATTTTCCTTAATTTCCTTCTCAATTACATAAGAGAAAAGTGTTTGTTGTCAATTAGGCCTTTAAAAAATTAGAAAGAAAAATATCTTATTATATTGTTTCAATGAGTTTTTATTAAAAAAAATTAAACTAATATATTTTTAAATTAAGAATGAATTTGTTTGTCTCTTGTGGTACTTCAATAAAATAACGATTTTGGGATTTTTTTCCTCTATTTTTTTAGACCCAATTGACAAACACTAATATCATTACATAATATTTAATTTCTTTCGGGATCAAGGATTCTTGAAAGTTTAAATTTTGCACTTAAAAAAATTTAATTTTTTTGAATGCAATATCTTAAAATGGGGATGGCCCTTAAGATCACTAAGAGAAATATTATTCTCAAGGTATTAAAAGCTAACTTCATGAAGTACCTTGATTGTCCGAAAAAATAGAATATAAATTTTTTGTTGGGCTATTAAAGAGCTCACTTAATTGATTAAAAATTTAAAACTTTAAATTTAATATTTTATATTCAAATCTTGCATCAAATTAGAAGTGATTTGGGAAAGAGAGCAAAACCTTCTTATGCAGCCTATTATTAGATATTAAAAAAGAAACCCCTTGTGCACCGCAATAACTAAATTTGGGTATTTTCATGTACTATTAATTAATTTATCAATATGACACAACAATCTAAATAATTTTATAGTAATATCTTTTTAATAAAAATAAGAGATTTTAAATTTGAGTAAAATAATATTAGAATGGAAGAAAATTTTCTTTTATTTTGTAATCCAAAATTTTAAAAAAAAAATCTCTCATGTTGTTAACTCATTGATTTTTTTCATCGAATGGATGATTTTTTTTTTTATATAAAATGACTTATTCTCGTTTAGCATCATTACTGTTCCTAAATTTTTATTTTGATTCTTTTATATTTAGTAACAACACTATATGTAGGGCCTAAATTATATATAGTACTAGTTTTTTTTTGTTTTTTGCCCGTGCAAGCTTTACAAATTAGAGTTTAGATTTTATAAATTTTATAATAATTTTTTTGTTAAAAATTCTATGTGCATTGGATAATTAGCAATAATATTTTTTAAAGTTATAAATTAGCAACAATTTTATATCTGTATTGTGTATTTTTTTTAATTATTTTTATGATAAAACTATTTTATGGATAGGAGTATCCCTTGTACTCCATTTAAATTAAAAAAATGATGTTAAAAAAATGATAAAGTTATTTTAAAGAAATGTAAAATGTAAGTTGTATTTGTTAATTAGATTAGAGGATAAAGTGTTCAAAATTTTTGAAATTATGTATTAGAAATTATGTTTTTAAATTGGTTAAAACCCCAATTTAGTCCCTTTACTTTGGTAAAAAGCTCCTTTTTAGTCTTTCTACTTAAAAAGTCATTTTTTAATCCCTAAAGTTGAAATCCGACCCTTTTTGAATCCCTCCGTTAAGTTTTAACGTTACATGATGAAAATTTCAAAAGAAAGGGACAAAAAGGACTTTTTTTTCAAAATAGAGAGACCAAATTGGGCCTATTTCTAGCCACTTTTTTGTCTTTTTACTTTGAAATTTTAATTATTTAATGTGTTACGCATGCAAAACTTAACAAAGGGACTTGAAAAAGGACTAGATTTCAAATTTTAGGAATAAAAAAGGGGCTTTTTTAAGTATAAGGACTAAAAAGATGTTTTTTACCAAAGTAGAGGGACCAAAATGGGAATTTAACCTTTTGAATTCATATTGGACAAAAATATTTTTTGTTTTAAGGTAAGTTTGTATTTTTATAACCTAAACTATACCTTTTGTGTTTTTCATTTTGAAAAATTGTGCTTCTATATATGTAAATTTGAGTTTTAAACTTTTTCAAATGATCAAAGTTTGAGATTATTTCAATTTTATAATATTAAATTTTATCATTTTTGTTTTATCTATGATTTTTCTCAATTTTTAGTGGTTCTTATTAGACATAAATCAATTTTGGTTATAATAGTTGTTTTTATTTGATTGAAATTTAAAAACTTATTATTTATTTATTTATTTTTGAATTTTAAAATGGATTTAATAACTATTATTTGTATCATGTTGTCTTTTTATCTACAATAACAAACCATGATATAATAATTACAATTAAGATTATATTTTTTTATTAAATCATGATATAATAATTTTGTAGTTGAAAATTTGAAATTACATTTTCATTAAGAAATTTTTGTTCATACAAACTATTTGTCTTTCATACTCGCTTATACTTTTATTTTTGAATTAAATAATAATCATAATATTAAATAATAATAATAATAATAATAAATTGAATTTTTTGCATATCACCTCATACATTAATATCGAGATAAATCATATTTAAATTGTTAATAAATTATTTTAGTTACTTTTCTTTATCATTATTTTTGAAATTAATATTGAAATAATACAAAAATTATCATTTATAAATTACATTATTAATAACATGCCTCTTGATCTTCCATTATCAACTATAAATTAATTAGAGATAAACCATATTTAAATTATTAATAAATTGTTTCAGTTTCCTTTTTATCATTATTTTTGAAAATAATATTGAAATAACACAACAATTATCATTTATATATTATATTATTAATTGCGTGCCTCTTAATTTTTCATTTTCAATTATAATATAATAATTTTCATTGAAGTTACATTTTTTATTATTTAAATGAATCATAATTAAATTTTTGTATATTCATAACCTTTTACTTTCCACGCTCTTGTACATCTATCTTCCTTTAATTCATCAACATAAAATTCTTGATATAAAAGAAAGGTGACAAGAAAAGTTACATAACATTTAAACAGTAAAAATAAATTTGAGTCATTTAAAATATTTAATATTACACAAATAATTATTGTATATTATAATCTTATAATTTGTTCTTATCTTAATAAAAGCCAATTTCTATTCCTCTTCCTTAATTTAATACATTATATGTAATTAAAAATAATAATAATAAAATAATTAAGAAGAAGATAAGAAATTGAAGAAAATATAAAAAATTGAACTAAATTATTAATCACATTTATTATATTTTTATGTTAAAATAATATATATTCTTTTTTAACAAATTTATTTTTTTATAATTAAAATAATATAAAAAATTAGATTTTAATTAATGTTTGAGGTAGCATTTTATATTGTATATTGATTGATTGATTGATTAATTGATTGATTTATAGATAGATACATAAATATAGATATAAAAAAAAAGATAGATATATATATCCTCTTAATAATTAAAAAAAAAAAACTATATTAGTTACCACAATTTGTATAGAAAATTTATAAAAAAAAATACTATAAATTGAGAGTTTTAACACATATAATATATATATACACCTAAAAACAAAATATGAATTGCTTTTAAAGAAAAATAAAAACTTTTTTTTATAGTTGCCATTTACTTTTGAGTTGTTCATTGTGTGTTATATTTGTTGCCTTTCTAGATCCAAAGTTTTGCTCCATATCTTGTCCCTAAGTTTTTGCAATAGCTTAGCATGTTATCTGTGCTTCATTAATTTTGTTGCTTCTCCTTCCTTTAGAATCTTTAAAATTAGTAAAAAAATGATGAAAAATCAACTTAAAATTTGTGATAAGAAAACAAATATTAGCTAGGCATCTCAAGTACATATCAAAACCAAATGAAGTTATACTTAGAAGTGATATAGATATACCTGAACCAAAAGTTAGATTGTTGACTTGATTTAGATAAATAACATAAGTGAGAGCTTCCATGAGTTAGAAAACACCATCAACTAAGACACTTACTTTTGGAGTTTAGAAATTTTAGTTTTGTAGTCTTTTATAGGCTTAGAGAAGGAAGTTTAAGAGTTTTAGCTATTACAAATATTTTATTTAGATTTAATTCTAAAATTTAAATATAATAATGATAAATAATATTTTAATGAATAATTGTTGAATATAAAAAGTCTTGTATGTACGTTAAAGTTTAATTGGGTCTTTACATGAAGAAGAAAATGAAAAGACATATCTTAATTTCTCTTTTGATTTATTATGCATGTAACAAAAAATAAT